CCCGCACTTCGTACAGCAGCTCCACGTAGACGGTTACATGTCGCCTTATATCGAACTCAGTAAAAACATCTGAGGCAAACTTACAGGACGTAGCAGCTTCTTGTGTTGGTAAATATTGTTTGATGTGTTCGAGCCCAGTGGATTGACGTCGCACAGGGTTTCTGGAGAATTTAAAACTTCCCATTTTTGCACCGTCAATGGAAAGCATGTGCAAATAAAAGCGCCTCCAAAGTCCTGCAACATCAATCTCCATGTTCGCCTTTTTTTTTTTTTTTAAAGCGTCACATCTTACATGTGCAGTCGATGTGCTTGTGGTATGAACCCTAAAGCATGAGTTGGCCTAAATGGAGCTGCTTTTGTGGCCCATGTTGTATCCCAGTTGACTGAAACAGCAATATTAGCACAAGACAGATGTCACTTGTGTTTATTTGTGTTACCGATCAATTGTTGGTTAATAGTGCTTCAGATTATTGATTAGGACAACTATTCAAAATCCACGTCTCTAGTGTCCGTCCACAAATTGTGTTCTCCCTTTACGACAAAGACTTGGTGCTCAATAAAGTCGATATCGATCCGTTTAAAAAGGCCTCAACAGAGACGTCCCTCCTCAAGATGCTGTCCAGTGTCCGGTAGCATATCTGTAGTCGCGCAGTTTAGTTTGGACATGAAATGTTATTAAAAAATCTGGCAAACTCTACCTCCGTCGTCTGGAATCGCATTTATTTTTAAAGTCGGTAAATGTATTTAAATATATGCCATGTCTGGAAGAAGGTCTTGACAGGGCTCCCTTTGTCCCCGCCGAGGAGGAATGATGAAGAAGACCTCAGTTAATTACATCATGTCAACTTATAAGATTTAACCCAAAGTTCCCGAGACTGCTGTCACAGAAAGAGCTGACCGGCACAATCGGGCCTGACCTTCAGAATCCATCAGATTTATGTTGTTTTTCACCGACACTTTTTTCCTCTCCGCCGGTAATTTACATATTTATCAGAGCCGATCGCGGTTTGACATCCTTTAATTTTTTATTTCCTCTTGGCGAGCTGCGAGAGAATGAGCAGTAATGTGCCATACAGTGCAGCGCGTGACTTTGGCAGGTGAGAAATGTGCTGAGGGAGCACTTTGATTTGGAAGTGTGGGCATAAATTTTGCCTCTGCCACTTTCACTCACTCATTGTCACCCACCTCCTCCACCTCCTCCTCCCGCTTTGCTCAGCCTGCACCGTCCTACTACAGCGATACACCTCCGTCCTGCACGTTCTCATTTCTTTTTTTAGCCGTCTTTTCTCTCAAATCTCATATATATATATATATATATTTTCCCCAGCCATGTTCCGAGCTGCTGCGACAGGCCCGTGGAGAAACGGCGATGATGTGAAGTTAAAGAGGTTCATAATTGAGAGACGTGGCCTCTCAGGAGCAGCAGAAGGATTTAAACCACACAAGTGCTGGGACGCCTGCATATGTAAACTGTAGATAGAGTTCTGTATTGATGCCAAAAGGGAAATAAAGCACAACAAAGTAGACAAAAAATAAATAAAATTAGACTACATGCACAGCTACATATAGTAAGTGTGAAAGTTAATACAATAAAATATAATAAAACAGAACAGACAGCAGGTTAGCAGCTAGCTAAAAGTGCAGCATAATGTAAAATATCTAAGTGCCTATAAGAGCAGTATGCACATGCTAAGATATACACATTATCAGCACTATTAGCAGTATGAACAGAGCATGTACGTGTGCAAACTACACAAATATGCACATAGAAAATGTAGTTTACAGTGTGATACAGTATTAGCAGAAAGAACAGAGCGGTATGAAATCGGCTAATCTGCAAATATGAGCATAAAATAGACTCACAGCGAGACTATGTAGTCGGAGGAATGCGACTCCATTTCACAAAGTTAAACAGAATGTGTTAGTGTTGGAAATTTGATTACTTGTGATATTTTATAACAAAAAATAACTGAAATTCTGCCTCGTTCTGCCAATCCGGCCCGGATTCTGCCATATCACCATACTCCCCTGTTTATCTTTGGTTTAGGAGAAACACTTGTTAAGCTGCGGAAGCTCTTGACCAGACTGCGTGATTCTTCCTTTCTAAATTACAGAGCAGAAGACGCTCGCGGCGTCTTTTCCCAGCACATGTGGCGGCTTCGTCAGCGCAGCACGAACACAGTCGACGAGGGAAGATTAAAACGTCGTATATCGCGCCAGTTTTCGTGGCCGTGACCTTGAATTCAATGTTTTTAAACAGCATACGGGAGGATTATCATGTTTAGTTAATTAATCAGTTAATCAATTGACAGATTGTTGTTTTTTTTATGTGTGTGGATCGTTAGTTAACCATTAAAGTCATTTATCATTGAAAATGCCAGAAACGTTGGCTGATTCCAGCTCTGGGTTTATTTCCGTTTTGTATCATTGAACACTAAATGTGTTGGACTGTTTGTTGTTCAAACTCTAATTCTGGATGAAATGACAGTGATGCCGCTGTGACATTCAGCTCTGTTGTACTCTTCATGGGAGGATTTCATTGTTGAAGCTCTGCTGTTGTCGCTTTTCTCTCTTACAACAATTTCTGAAACCTGTCAGCAGACACAGACCAAAACGATCGCCTCCTTTTTTTTTTTTTTTTCCAGGAAAGAGGGTTAGATCATTTAGAAAGCTACCTTTCAGTCTGATCCTTTGCCTTCTCTTTATCCTTTACTTCTGTCTCTGCTGCTCTTTTTCTGTCAGTCTCTCTCCCAGCCGCCCCCCCGGCTGTTGATCTCTACTGACACCTTGAGGTCAGGCGACGCCGCTGCATCGCTGCACTCCTGAGACCAGAGCTTGACCCTCACCTTGCCGTTACGTGTCACCTACACCTGAGCCAAAATTTGATTTTCCTTTACATATAGCTGAGCTGGCGGTGCTGGCTTCCTTCAGGTTCCCTGTGGGTGCTGGAGTGCCTATGGAATAGTGGGACTTAATTTTGTGCTACAATGCTTGGCTGCGCACAGCCAGATACAGAGGAAGCAGAGATACAGACACATAAACACAACAGCTACTTGGGGAGCGTTTGTGAGAGCCCTGAGGAGACACAGCCGCACACACACACACACACACACACACACACACACACACACTCATGCATGTTGGTATAGCTATCTCTGTGAAGACTTTTATTGATGATCTGCATCATTAGCCTCTCATGCTAACAGTCAGTGCTTAACCTCGACCTTCACCTGAATCTGATTCTGACCTTAAGCCTCAAACGGCCCTTTGAAGGGACGAGGACCAGCCAGAAGGTCCTCACTTCCCCTGAATGTCCTCACAGTGATGGTCTACCGCTCAGAGTGGTCCTCACTAAGACAGTTGTGTAAGAACACATACACCCACACAGACACACACAGAGCGATGTGGGATAAACAGTACATCCATTGTAAGCTCCAGGAGCCTGCTGGAAGAGATTGTTTTGATGAAGCAGCAAGGGCACACTAGCACTGAGACTAAATGTAGCATGGCCATGATGGTTGAATTCCCCGACAGTCGGGACCTTGGCAGCTGCCTCTGGTTTGGCTCACAACTTTCTGGGTTCTTGGTTTTACTGTAGGGAGGATGTCTGTGTGTGTACGTCTGCCTCCGACTGCAGCTTTGCGCTGTACAGTGTGTGCTGCGTCGTGGTGTGTGTCCTGGCCGTGCTCTTGTATCGGGAGTCCGTGCGGTGGCCCGGGGTCGAGGCCAAAGTAGAATTTCTAAGTGATGGAATTTCACAGCCACCGAGCACCCAGCGGCCGGCCAAACCGCAAGCACTCACATTTACAACAAACGGCCTGCCGCGCTCCGCGGAGACTCCTGAATGGCAAAGCCATTTGTCTCTGTGAAGGGCAGAGGGAGGAAAAAGCGAAATAAAATCAGAGGCAGAGTACTTAAATGGAACAATGCTTTTTTTGTTTACGACCCCTAACTACTCCGACAGACACACGTGTACGTTCACGCTCACATCGCTCTGAGGTTAAATTGGAATTAAGGGGAAGGAAAGGTGCATAGCCTGTTGCTAATTAGCATTTTCTCTGCTCAGCACAAGAGGGTGGAGGAATCAATAAGATATTAAGTTTGTGTATAGCAATGAGGCACACAATCACTTTCATCCATTAGCAGCAGCAGATTAGAAGAGAAACACTGGCCAAGAAAACAGCTCAACTTTGACCCGTGTGGTTTTAAACCGGGCTGGGAACGGATGCAGCTTGTCTTTCTGTTGTTCCTTTGGCTCGCTTTGAATACGAGCGAGGAGGATCCTGCAAATATCAACAGAAGTATCAGAGCTGAGTGCATCCTCCTCCACTTAAAGGTTAATTTGGCCTGAAAAGTGAAGCACTTTCTGTCTTTTTGATCCTGGCTTCAAATACACCAACTCTGGGATTTACACTTAAACATCTCACAGCAGGCGTCCGATGAAAAATTTACGATGATTTGGATGTAAGAAGATGTAGAAGTTCTCGTCACCGGCATGCAGAACAAAATGTCTGAAGTTTCGGGAAAGAGTCTGAAGCCTGTTTTACAAACTCTGTCAGCTGTATGAAAGTTGTATAAACCCGTACGTATGGCACACCAGTACACAGACTGGAAATACTGAAGGAAGGTCCAACACCATCTAAAGGCAGAGCAGGAGAGACGTGTGGAGCCAGAACAGAAGACTTCACTCAAAGAACACCTTTATGGGGTCACACCTGTTGCAGGCGGATCCTGACCCTGTAGATGTATAATTCACCCGCTCTCTTGAATATTCTGCGCCGTGTGTCGGTTTGATGTTTGATTCATGTGTGTCTGGCTGAAATTGGACGCTCGGGTCGGCTTGTGTTCTGACCCGGCTGCTCGCACCGGACTCTTAACAGGCTGCATGTATATCTGACTTTATATTTTAGTCACTTTATACGTCCTGTAGATGTTTGTGCATAAGCAGCAGCACCTCGGCCTCTCTCTGACGCCTTCCTTTACACCTTTCCTCCCTGCAGACCACCAGAGTCCAGAGAGGGAGAAGAAGCTGGTCTTCCTCACAGCTCGCGTCCACCCTGGAGAGTCTCCCGCCTCGTTTGTCTGTCAAGGTAAAGCTTTAATGTCGGGTCGGTTCCCTGCAGGTTGTTTGGTCGTGCACGCCAATAACACTGCATCATGCATGTTTAAAGTGTAGATGCACATTCACGATGCTAGACGGCATAGTTCCTTCTTCCATTTATACTTACTGTAGCTGTTGTCTTAATAAAACAATGAATTTAAACGGAGCTAATGGATCTAATCATGGATTTTAAGGAGCAAGAACTTCTGATATTGTTTCTATGCTGGAGTTATGTCAACAAGGGAAAGTGATGGAGTCAGTCTTCATTAACTTTGAGTTTTGTTTTGCACAAACTAGTCAGCAGCTCACCGTGAAGACGCCGCTTAACTCTGCACCGCCGTCATCCTGCTACATGTGCTGCAGACAGCGAAACATGCTAATCCCCGGGTTTTTTGTGTGGCTTTTGGAATTTTTCCCTTTTTTTTGATTCTTGTTCATTTTTTTTTGGTTTTTTTTTGAGTGGATTTCCCAAAAATATTCTTTAATGTTAGTGTGAAATCAGATTTTACTTATTTTATATTTTTAATTAGTTGAATTTTCTGTAGAAATCTGCTTTCACTTTGACATGAAAGAGTCTTTTTTTGTAGGAGAAAAAGACTTTTTCACATCAAAAAAATGATTTTACTCATTTAATATTTTTTTTTATTTTCATTAATTCTGGTTTCACTTTGACATGAGAGAATCTTTTTTGTAAATTCTTATTTAAAAAAAAAAAGCCAAAACATACTGACCACGACCCAACGTTGAAAAGCAATAAAATAGAAAAACTTCCACAGGACATGAATACTTTCTATAGACATCTGTGACAGCCCAGGATCAGCTGATAGTTTTGGCTCTAATTTTAAACACTAAACTTACTTCTTACTATTTCTGTTTATATTTATTTGTATTATATTATCATATATGAATAGAGTTGATATTCTTTCACTAGAATAAGCAGATTGTGCTGCATACCTGGATGTTATGCATTCTCCTAAACAACATGTGCAGAATAAAAATGGCCTCTTTTTAGCGTCCAAATAACTGAACAATGCAAAATGTATGATAAATAACCTACTTAATGCACGAGGATAGCCAGGAAACTTTTCTTCTGACTTGTATTGAACAAAATAACAATAATGACATAACACCGCGTCATAACTTCCCCGTGAGTCCCACGGCGGTGACCCCGCGCCTGAACCCGCGGCGCCGCGGCGGTACGAGAATAGACACAAGAACCCGAGTTTCTACATAATATCTGAAGGAAACGCAATCTGGAGATACAATTGGGTCGCGGCGCCTTGGCTCCTGAGCTCCGGTAACTCAAAACTAATAAAGCATCTTGAAAAACTGGGAACCTTTTGGGAAATTGTCTCCTTGTGCAGTCCAAGAACCTGAAAGACAATTTTAGCCGGATTTAATGCACCGTTCCACCGCTGCTCCGTCTATCTATCTATCTATCTATCTATCTATCTATCTATCTATCTATCTATCTATCTATCTATCTATCTATCTATCTATCTATCTGTCTATCTATCTGTCTATCTATCTATCTATACGTGTGTGTGTGTTTTGCTGCTTGTGTGCACATCATCATGAATCAGATGAGTTGGCTTTTAGCCCGCCGTGTGCTTTCTGTTTTTCCAGCGCCGTCAGCTCCATTCCATTTGTATCGATTTAGGCTTGACGTCTCCTATTCCTCCCTCGATTCTGACGATGCCCCCTCGCCGTCCTTCCTTCTCCTTTTGTTTCTCAAAACTCAATTAACTGCCAGTCCGCCTTTGGTTTTCTTTTCAAGTCTATTTCGCTCTGTGTGTGTGTGTGTGTGTGTGTGTGTGTGTGTGTGTGTCTTTGTGTGCGTTTTGCAGGTGTGATTGACTTCCTGGTGAGCCAGCACCCCGTCGCTCAGGTCCTCAGAGATCATGTGATCTTCAAAATCGTCCCCATGCTAAATCCTGACGGCGTCTACTTGGGCAACTACAGGTACGAACGCAGCGCCTACGCATGTTTTTAATTCTTAATTTGAACGCATCGCTACGTTAAATAGAACTCGCACATTACACGGTTTTGCATTGTGCTACATGGGATTATATCCTCTTAACTCCACCTTTAGGGAGCTTAATTAATTCATATAGCTCACAGCAGTGCATTTGTTGGAAGATAGTATTTGGCTGCAGGGCTGTTCTGGCTGCCAGTGTCTCTGTCCATCCCCTCCGTCTTTAACACTGTTGCTGGAGCTCTGTGGGCATCCTCCTCTCCTCTATTTTCCTCTCTTCTCTTTCCCTTCTTCATAATTGCCTTTTACTTAATAGGCTCATCCCCCTGAATACTAATGCTCACTGAGATAAGCATCAAGCAGCAGCTCCCACCGTGTTTGTGAATGCCATCTAGTGGTGCTGCCGCGTCACTGCATCACAAAAAAAAAACACACATTTGCAGGAACTCTCAGTGGCTCCAGCAGCAATCTGACTGATATTATTGAATGGTGGCTGCTTAAAGACTATTTTCATTAGCTCGCTCTCGCATCGAGTGGCGATGAGCAGCGTATCGACAGAAGGTGAATATTGATAGCCTTCACCTCACCGCTCGCACATTTATGGACGTCCACCAGCGCCTCTCTCCTGATCTGTCTCACGTGCACACGCATAGAAAACACACACAGAGAAATAGTGTGCAGCCTCCTCAGCGGGATACAGTGGAGAGCACACTGGAATGGAAACATGCAGAGCAATCAATGGCAGTTAACCTGGGATGAGTATTGTGTTCACGGCTGGCTGCTCTGCTCAGCAGCCCCGCAGTATCACTAACTCCTGTGTCATTACCAGCGGCTTCAGTAAATGTCAAAGATGCACATGACAACAAACAGGGCAGATCAGGGGCCATCCTTACATGTAAACATCCCATTATGGCAATCACAGGCTGCCGGCAGCACCTGTAAGGTAGGAGGAATGATGGTCGGGGCTTCTGCAACATCACCACAGCATCCAGGGTTCAGTTCTACCTGTGCTGCTGGTCTCGAATTCAGCTGCCAAATAAAGGCAAGACATGCAAAAAAAATTAACTTATTAGTCATTTATACCATTTATTTACCATTGTTTATTAGAGTTTGTTAACAAAATGGTGTTAAAAGTGCATCTTGTGTGTCTTTAATGCTTCTCAATCTGATCTTCTCTCTTAAAAAACTCTCACAAATTCACATCCACTCGACGTCTGTGTCCTGAATGACTTCCTGTTTGCTCCGTATGACTTTATATCTACCGTCAGCCGTCGTATTTAACTGTCTGGATTCTTAGATTTTCATTTATGTTCCATGCAGATTGTGCTTTTAGTCATTTTTGTATAGTGAAACTAAAAAGTTGGTAAGTTACTCCCTGCAGTTCTGCAATTACACAACACAAGATGTGATTATAGATGCAGAAATGTGCCGTTGTTCACCGCTACATCCGTCACTGATGATGCAAAATGACGATAGTTCAGAAAGTCTAAATCCTGATTTAGACTGAACCACCAGAGGCCTGTACTATGAAACCAGCAAACCCAGGATATGTTTTTGTTATCCGGCTTTATTAAACTTGCAAACAGGCTCAGTGGCCTCGTGTCAACTTGCTAAATCCGGTGTTGCTTAATCCAGCTACGAGTGGGTTCACATGAAAAAGATGCAAACGTGGACAAATCTAAAGCTGCAAGTTTCTCACAGGAAGAACAAACCATCATCCTAAAACCAATATGAGGAGCATTGTAATAAAATACAAGCTGAAGTAGCACAGCAGCAGAATTCATGAATGGAAGCTGCAGACAAACCAACAGGATTGTTAGCATCTCTGCTCTGTTGTGTATTAGTTGCTTTTTTAATATAAGATTTAAAGTTCAGTTTAATTATCATCGTGCAGCGGAAGATTGTATCTCGACACGACAAATGTAGACAAATTGTTTAAAGAATAAATAATCGAATATTAAAGATGTTGTGGGCGATGAGTTCAGTCATTCTTATGGCCTCCATCTTTATAAACAAACAACAACAACAGATATAAAAGCATAAATCAAACCCACAACTAGACGGACAGCAGATCTAATGAGGTCAGCGGGTAGGCTCTGAGGTTTTAGTGTTTTAATCACTTTCTGTTTTGCATCACTCTGCAGACACATTTAGAGCCCTGAAATGGCTCTGAAATTACTTACAGCTTAAAAAGAAAACACTCTTGTAAACCCTGCAGCCCTACACGATCTATCAGGAATGGTGATGACGTTTTCCAAGAGAACTCATTGGTCAATAAATCTGTTATTTCTAACATAACCTGCTCCAGTTACCACGATAAGAATTGAGCTGCCATCATAGTCAAACCTAAAGTTACCTCAAGTCCTGCTTCATAGTCCGGACCTCAGGTGAGGACGTGATTGCAGACATAGACCGACATCATCTGCTGATTCGTTTAAACGTGTGGAACAGGAAGTGTTCGTGTGCGCAGGATTAAAAACAAAACAGCAACAATCTCATACTGTTTTGCTTTAAGTACAAACTGCAGCTGCCCTCATGGAGGAGGTGCTGTTTCATGTAGTTTACGTACAACTGGGACAAAATAATTAGTCAAAAATATCGTGTTCGTACTGGAGCGAGACATCGTGGCGTAACTGTGCAAAGGATTGTGGGTCAGAATGGCCGGAAGAGAACGCCGGCTTGCAAACTGCAAAATCCGGCCCATATAATAGGACATACGGGTGTTTTTTTGTATACTATGTTTGATTTGTAGTATGTGTTGGACAATAGTGACTCTCCTGGTGGAGCACTGTGTGGTCCTGTAGTATGGAAAATGAAACACACCCACAGCCAGCAGCCCGTAGCTCCACAGGGTGCTTTAAATCATTTGCAATAGGTTTAAT